CCTGGGGTTCACCCTCCTACTTCCTCTTTGTGCACCAGCCCCCCACCTATCAGCGCTCTGGCCTGGCGCACGGAAGAAGGCCCCGCCGCGGGTCGAGCAGGTGGCTGGTGCAGTGGCGGAATGAGCGCCCCACCCGTGGCGTCGCAGGAAGGTGGCGGCGGAGCAGGTAGCGGTGGAGCAGGATGGCCGCGGCGGCGCCGCAGGATGGCCGGGCGGCGGACGGAACAGATTGGCGTCGGGTGTGCCCGGTTCGGACCCTAGGATTTGTCGTCGTTGCGAGGTCCCACGTGTAAGCTCCCGACCCACTTCCACGCGGTCCCACGTGTAAGCTTCGGACCCACTACCACTAACGCCAACATACAGAATGGACTTCAGTCTGGCGGTTTGGCCTCGTCATAGTAGATGCGTACATACTAGGGGTAAAACTGAGTACGATTCGCAACTAAGGATAAAACTGAGTATATGGATACCACTGAACGCAAACGGATAATTAACCCTGTAAAATATTGGCCACCAGATTATCTCGACCTCTCTTTGATGCGTCATGGCCTTTTTCTTTCCCCAGCTGCCCGTTTGGCCCCTAGTAGTGAACAAGTTTCGCAAGTCTTCTCCTACCTGCCCAGCGGATGAAACTTCTCTGCATCTTACTAGGTGCCTTCTCTAAAGAACCTCTCCTTTTCTCACAAGTGAGCAAAGGCCATGCTACCAACTCTGCCAACCAAAATGGGACCTCCAAGGAGAATGCTCAGCTGGTCTTCCAATAATTCTCTGATCACTCGCGCAGAAATTCAAAACGTGAATCTCAGATGAAAAATGCAGGAATTTCGTACAGGATGGTATGGGTTGAACCTGTAGGAACTGCGGCCCGTACTGCAGGATGTGTACAACTTATCCATTTATGGGTTCGCGGAGTAGAAGCATAAGGCGTAACAATCATATAATAATAAACACGCAAACATATATTTGATCGTTTGATCATCGACGGGGAAATCTAAAGTATTGGTTCCGCATCAGTTAGGCCATGCGCAATAGTACGTGACAATAATTGGTTTGTCAGAGTCACACGAGCTCAGTAGTCATGCAATTTCCACGGTAGGTGGTAACACTGCATGGGTTATTTGGTTCCTAGCCATACTTTGTCACATTTTGTCAACTCAAGTTAAGCAGGTTTGGTCAAACTAGTTTGGTATTTGGTTCTATCAACGCACAATGCAAAACTCTTTTTGTGAAAAATAATCTCCATATGTTGCACATATAAAAAGTGTGGCAAGATTTTCTAAGAAAAGTCAAAGCGTGGCTAAATTTTTTAAACATATAAAGTAAGGCAAATGTGATGGAAACTGTGTGATAAACTATGACAAAGTTAGTCACCAACCAAGCAGGCCCACTACGCTAGTGAGAAAAGTAAAAAAAAAAAACTGACAATCTACCGTGTACATTCGCATAGGTGTGGCAGCTCCAGCGAGGTGTCAAAAAAATTGGTAGCCGGTATGGGATGCACTATCTAAAATATTAGAAAAACTTAGCACGTTGACACTTCTATGCTATCACAAATTTCAAAATGTAAATTAGATATAAAAATGACAAATCCGACAGTGAATAGCATATAATATAAGTTTGGCTGAGAATTTGCCCATTACCTCTATTGATTACAAATTTCTCATTTTTTGTATCTCAACCAATGCCTTAAATTTTGATTTGAATTTTTGCGGCAACATATATTGATAATGCCGATGTACTAATTTTTTTCCAGATTTTCCTAACATTTTATTTTTTAGGCAATCCTGACATTTTAAATGGTGCAATGGAAGTTGGGTGCATTAGTGCAGCAGGTATCCCGCGGGCCGGTGCTGACATATCGGGGCGCTAGTGCAAAACAACGATATGAGCCCATTTAGTGAAAACACTCGTATTTTTATTTTATTCATCACAACAACAAAAAATCTGAGGAAAACTTTCGATCTATCCGTCAACTATCAAGGTAGTACAAAAAACACCAGAAGTACGAAAATTCATCCAGGCCAGGTCCATAAACCACGTAGCTATGACTGGGGCAAGCCAAAGGCATGCCACTGTCATCGCTCCTCCCTCATCAGAGTCGGGCAAACCTGGTTGTAGTAGACAGTCAGGAAGTTGTTGTGCTAAGCCCCAATAGGACTAGCGCATCAGAACAACAACCGGCACCGATGAAGAAAACGTAGATCGGAAGGATCCAACTTGTGGACACACGAACACAGACAAACGAAGACTGAATCCACGTGGATCCACTGAAGACTAGCACCGATCGAATCCCATGAGATTTGTCGAAGACAAACCTCAACACGTTGTCGGGCGATGATAGAAACATCATCGGAACGGGGGCTAGGAGGAAAGAACCTTATTCCATCTACAGAGAGCAGCCGCCACCTCACATCTCTGAGCAGGACACAAACCCTAACAAAACTAAAAGAAAAAACATTAGAAAATGAAGCCCTCCCGCCGCAAGGGTTAGGATCCACCGCACCTTCATGTCCCTAAGACTGCAAGAGACGAGGTAGACCAACGGCAGCATCGACGGGAGGCACGAGAAACCCTAGCACACTAGGTGCAGGTACTAGCGGTCACCGTAGTACGGGAATGCACGAGAAGATATGAGACCATGCTGATGTGGTTGCTAACCGGCAAGGTATGTCACCACACCAATATTCATACAAGTATATTGTAGAAAATGGAACTTTTATTGGAGATATTTTATAAAACTATGCATGTAATTTACCTTCTAAGATAGTGTAGGTTGTATCAGTCGAGACAACAACAAAATGCGTCCTACGAGTGATCCATCAAGTTGGCCAGCCATGGCCTGGACTTGAATTTTATTTTAGCATGTCTGGATTTTGAACTGTTTTGCTTTGTTGCATTGTTGAATTATTGCATTGTGATGATTTTTGTGTTATATGATTGCATGAATGACATGAATTTGAGGGTTTAAATTTAAGGAGTGTGGTTGCCTCAGGAGCCGTCTGACGGTGTCTGTGGATGCGTTCGGGCGTGCCTGCAGTGGGCGGATTTGCCAAGTGAGCTGCACCCCCTTCGGCGCAAAGCTGGCTAAACGGGTTGTGCCCAGCACGCGGCACATCTAGGGCCATTCCTGGGCCTGGAGGCTGGGCGCGCGGGCCGGCACAGCACGGCCCATTTTTTTCTGAATCATATAAATATATATAACCTATATAATTTTTAGGCCCAAATACAGCCCATAAGGACGAACTGCTAAACAGAGAGTGCTAAACGGGCTAACGTGCCGGCCTGATTAACTAAGTGGCCGTGCCTGGGCCTGGAGGCGCAGCACGCGGGCCGGCACGGCACGCCAGCTGTGCTCCGGCGTTTGGAGTGCCTAAAAAAATGCTCCGGCGTTTGGAATAAAAAAAAAGGCGTTTCTTATCCCATTGAGTGTTCCACGGCGGCGCGGCGTGCCTCCATCCCCTCCGGCCTCTCCCCCCGACCCCGGCGGCACAGGCGGCCGTAAGTTTCTTCCTCACCTCTACCTTAATTTCTTCCCGATTTTCCGGATCCGCGACGTATTAGGCTTCTTCCTCCCTCGGATTTCCCGTCACTCCTCGGATTCCCCTGCAGTTCAAGTTCCGGCCGGTGTCGGAGACGAAACGGCCTATATATAGATGGAGGAGAGGGCGGAGGAGATCGATCTGAGCAAGCCGAGGTTGCGCACGATGGGGAGAAAGCTACCCCCTTCTGCTCCGGCCACGACGCGGACTCCGGCGACGGGAAGGCGGCGCAAAGGCCCCTCCTTGGCCCCGCTCTCCGCCTGCAAGCGCCGGCGGACCCCTGAGGCTAGCGGCTGGGCTTCCCTCCCCACCGATATAGTCCACCTTGTCGCCAGCCGCCTGCTGACCGGCGACGTGGTGGACTACATCGTCTTCCGGGCCGTCTGCTCCGGCTGGCGCAGCTGCACGGGCCAAGTGAATGGAAGAGAGACCAATGATCAAGAGTAAATCTGTGTATATCAATGATGACAAGTTACATTTTTATTTGCACTCACCATGTGGTGGTTGAATCATATAAGCACACATAAATGCTGATAACATGGCCACTGTTCCTACATTGGTAGGTATGGTTCGGCTAATCACAAGTTGTCCCAATCAGGTCCAAAGCCGATATGGTACAAGCTAGCCAGGCAATTATCTTGCAGGTTAAGGGTGCCCAGCATCTCCATGTGCAGTCAGCACCGGTGAAGATAGTAAGCAAACGGTACACAGAGCTAGCCGAATGAACTCCAGCAACAGACCAGGGCAGCCGAATGAACTCCATAACTAGCGGCGAAAACTCAGCAACAGAATAACCATTGATCGAGCAATCTCTCCAAAATAAGATGTGCCTGCCACCCCGCAACTGTAATGCAAACCTGACTGAAATACGAGCCTTGCAGAAATATCTCCAAATATTTGCAATCCCTGCCATGGTTTTCCAGGGTCAGTACAACGCAGCCACTCCCAAGCTCACACGAAGCGCAAGCCCCTGGAGCTTTAGGTTTCGATTCCTAGTCCCCCACCGCAGGTTGGCTGAACGACTTTGCTCCACGCCACAAGGCATTTTCCGCCATTGATTTCACCAGTACCTGCCCAAAACAAGGCTCTCTCCCACTTCTCCACTGCTCCCAATACCCATGTCGGCGCCTCAGTGACCAGCAGCTGATGAATGAGCTTCGCACATTTAACTGTCTTAATGGGGATGAGCCTTCCTGCCGTCGTGACAAGCCCATGCTGGCGAGACAAACATGGCCTGAATGCTTTTGCAGGCACAACTAGATATCAAGAACCACCACTATATATGCATAGCATAGACAAACTGCTGGCTAAAATCAAAAGATCATGCACAATGCGCCGGGACCCACCAAGGAATTGACCTAGCCACACAAAGATCCCAACCGAGCGAGCAAGGGAATTATGCATCAAGTGTCTATTGGCACTATTCATGTGAGGTGCTGTGACTCTGTTTCCTCCTTCGGATCAACAAACTGCAACACGAGGAATCCGTAGTTTAGAATCTTTTGTCTTGATGTTCTTCCTCAATTGCTCGAAAGATTCAGGTATAGAGTGGTACTCATGAAACATGAGTCCTTTTGTCCTTCAAAGGGGAAGAGAAGACAGTCATAATGTAGAATCGCACATGATACATGCAAAGAAGAGAAATTAAGAAAAACAGACTTACCACTCATGAGGATGGCAGTAGGTTAGAAGTTGGTCAGCAATGGTGAAAGGGCGCACGGAGGGTCGGATCCTATCCTTCCCGTCATGTATTTGGCATGACAGTGCTAGCCGCTCAGAGAAACCTGTCCTTACGGAGTGCACCACAACAGGGTCACGGTACAAAGAGAAGTAAATGGAGTTGCTGTTCACAGAAGGGAGGTCCCTGGCTGAAACAGAGAGGGACCGATCCCTGCTGAGGAACAGCGCGTGGCCACCGAGGCAGTTCACTGGGATCAGCTCACCGCGGTCGATGTCCAACGCAAATAGCTTATAGGCATTTTGCTGTAAGGGCTCCACGCCACAATGTTGTGCAGTTAAATGGTGGATGGCAAGCAGCACTCGCCCACCAGACTCCACGAGGAAGTAGTTGCATAGGCTCGGATCACCAAAATTATTTGGAACATGAGCAAGCACAGGATGTGGTGATCTCGGATACAGCTGCATGATCTTCCTTGAGCCACCCTTGACGACTGTCGCGTAAAGCCTTCCTTGGAAGGGCAAGATGCTCCTAAGGAAAAGCCCTCGGTGGAGGACCTCCCAAGTTGGGCGGCCAGCCTCGGCGCCGATCACCACATGTGTCCACGGGAACCATGCCACCACGGCAATGGAGGTCGCGGACGCGCTGCAGACCGCGGCATTCATGTCAAGCAGAGAGTTCCGGTTCCTGACCGCGTCGTGGAACACAGGGACAAGGGACGGGAGGTCGACCACGACCCGTGTGAAGGGATGCAGCACCCGGACGGCGGCGGTGCGTTTGTTCAGAAGAATGATCAGTCCCTGGGTGAAACCGACGATCCTGTGGCGCCGGAGCTCCGGCAGGCGGACGCGGAGGCGCCTGGCCGTCCGCGTGTGGAAGAAGCTGATCTCGCCGGCGTCGTCCGGGCGTACCCCGTCGCCGTCGCAGAGGGCGACCCAGCCGCGCGGCAAGAGGTCCGGTTTGCGCAGGGTGGGGTCGCGCGCGTCGCTCGTGCAGCTGCGCCAGCCGAAGCAGACGGCCCGGAAGACTATGTAGTCCAGCACGTCGCCGGCCAGCAGGCGGCTGGTGACGAGGTGAACCACATCGGTGGGGAGGGAAGCCCAGCCGCTTGCCTCAGTGGTCCGCCGGCGCTTGCAGGCGGAGAGCGGGGCCAAGGAGGGGCCTATGCGCCGCCTTCCCGTCGTCGGAGTAGAAGGGGGTAGCTTTTTCCCCATCGCGCGCGCTCGACCTCGGCTTGCTCAGATCTCCTCCGCCCTCTCCTCCATCTATATATAGGCCGTTTCGTCTCCGACACCGGCCGGAACTTGAACAGCAGGGGAATCCGATGAGGGACCGGAAATCCGAGGACTGAGGGGAAATCCGAGGGAGGAGGAAGCCTTCGACGTCGCGGATCAGCAGAAAATTGAGCAGGGAAGAGGTAGGTGAGGAAGAAACTTACGGCCGCCGTTGCCGCCGGTGTCGGGGTGAGAGGCCGGAGGGGATGGAGGCACGCCGCCGTGGAACACTGAAGAAACGCTTTTCTTTTTTACTTTAATCCACACGTCGGAGCAGGGTGCTGTGCCGGCCCGCGTGCTGCGCCTCCAGGCCCAGGCACTGCCGCTTAGTTAATCGGGCCGGCACGTTGGCCCGTTTAGCACACTGGTCTGTTTAGCAGTCTGGCCTTATGGGCTGTGTTTGGGCCATTTTAGGCCCTTTAGGCTGATTATATAGGCTATATATATAATTTAGAAAAAAATAGAAAATCAGCTCAAATGGAGAAAATAGAAAATTTAAATGGGTCGTGTCGTCCCGGTCCGCATGCCCAGCCTCCAGGACCAGGCACGGCCCCAGACATGCCGCATGTCGGGCACAACTTGTTTAGCCCCTGCCGTGTCTAGCCCATGGCGGGCCGTGCCGACGTGCTCGTGGGCTGGCCTGGTTGGCCCGTAACGTTTGACCAGCTTTGCACAGGAGGGGATGGAAAAGTAACTCACTTGGCAAGTCCGCCAACCGCGGGCATGCCCAGACGCATCCACAAACAGAGTCGGGCGGCCCCCGAGGCAGCCACACTCCATAAATTTAAACCCTCAAATTCATGGCATTTATTACAACACAAAATTTATCACAATTCAATAACTCAACAATGCAACAAAGCAAAAAAAGCATGGTTCAACAATCCGGACATGCTAAAATAAAATTCAAGTCCGGGCCATGGCTAGCCAACTTGATGGATCACTCGTCGGACATCATTTGTTGTCTTGACTGATACAACCTACACTATCTTAGAGCAAGTCCAGCAGTTCCCTTGAAATTTCTCCTCTATATCTCAAAACAGGGGACTCCACTAAAAAGATTCTTCCCTAAAAATTGCTCAACTCCAGCAGTTCCCCTAAACATCTCCCTTATTCTATATTTTAAGAGTATTTCATAACTACCAACGGCTAGGTTTCCAACGGCTAGGTTTCCAACGACTAGTTTCGGCTCTACAAATACATGATCAACCTTCATATCTCTCACAATCCTGATCGTGCCTCCTCTTCTGCTTCTCTTTCGCCATCTCTCCACAACGAAACGACTCACCGTCAAAGTTTGGCCCGGCAATTTTGCGAAGATTCCTCCTCCGAAGATGAGGAACTCATGATGGCTGCAATTGTAGCAGAGGAAGAAGAAGCCCGGCTGGATGCTCCACGACATGGAGGTTCACAACCGGGACGTCAATCTCTTCAACGCGATTTTGCGGAACGCTTTCAGAACCTCCACAAGGACTATTTTGCAGAGAACCCCACCTTCAAGGCAAGGATGTTTTGCAATAGGTATGAAACTGGTGCATATGTTTCTTTTTCACCATAGTAGTCGCTCTTCATGTCTCATTTAAGTTTTTATTCACAGTTATAGAATGCATCGTCCTCTTTTTCTGCACGTAGCAAGTGCTATAGAGGCACGTGATGGCTATTTTTCTCTGAGAAGAAATAGTGTTGGTGTTCCTGGTTTACATCCTTATCAAAAATTGACCTCAGTATTTCGAATCGTAGCTTATGGGATAGCAGCTGATCTTACTAATGAGTATTGTCGGCTAGCAAAGTCCACCGCTTTAGAAAATCTTAGAAGATTTGTTCGTGTTGTGATTGAGGTCTTTGGGAGGTCAGTACCTGAGATCTCCAAATGCTGAAGATACTGCTAGATTACTTGCAATTGGAGAGCAAAGGGGGTTTCCGGGTATGGTCGAAAGCATCGACTGCATGCATTGAAAGTGAAAAAATTGCCCTACTGCACACAAAGGTTTTTTTGTTGGCCATAAACGCGTACCCACGGTCATTCTTGAAGCCGTTGCTTCACAAGACCTTTGGATTTGACATTCTTTCTTTGGTTTACCAGGATCTCATAATGATATAAATGTTCTTCACTGACGGTGTCCTGGACTAGGGGGGTACTCACCACGTCGTCTCCCGATCAGGTGGATTGGGCCGAGGATCCCCATGGCCGTATACTCATGGGCCAGTCCGGACAGTTGCCCCATACAAGGAAGATTCCACAAGACTTGGCGATCAAGACAAGGACTCCTCCCCCACCGGCGTATCCGGCTAGGACTCTTGTTATCCTAGGCCTATGGTGCATTATATAAACCGAGGCCAGGCTAGTCGATAGAGATATACAACAACAATCATACCATAGGCTAGCTTGTAGGGTTTAGCCTCTCTGATCTCGTGGTAGATCAACTCTTGTACTACCCATATCATCAATATCAATCAAGCAGGACGTAGGGTTTTACCTCCATCAAGAGGGCCCGAACCTGGGTAAAACATCGTGTCCCTCGTCTCCTGTTACCATTGATCCTAAGACGCACTGCTTGGGACCCCCTACCCGAGATCCGCCGGTTTTGACACCGACATTGGTGCTTTCATTGAGAGTTCCGCTGTGTGATCGGCGAAAGGATCAATGGCTCGACTGCAGGTCAACTGCGAAGTCGGCTTCTTCGTCACCAGCTCGACTGGTCACCTTGGCTTAACCGAGGACTGTGCCCTATCTCCGATCGTCATGTTCGGATGAGGGCCTTCATCAACATCAACTCCGATCTCTATCAAGATCATGGAGGAGTCATCCATGGAGCTCGGGGGCTCAACGTCAACATTGCCCTCAGGCGACTGTGTTGTTTTTCTGGACAACAAACTTGTATCCGCCGCCACCGCCTCCTCGAGTATCGCCTAAACGATTACTTCGATGGAATTATGCGGAATTAAGTCTACAACAACCCTGCAAAAATTTCGTCGAGTTCCAATGGAGCAATCTCCGGCAATCTCCGATGTACCGGAGCCCTGTTGAATCTGGACGAGAATTCGGACGAGTTTAGGGCGTGGTATCCAGCATCTAGCTCGGATGTCCTTTGGAAGATCCAACCGTTGATTTGCTGCGGAATTACCATATCTACCACCTTCCAAAAATTCAGCTCGATCCGACCGTCCAAACTCCGGGAAACTTCCGATTAGTGCGTCACTTTTTGGGTCTATTTTCTGCGCGAGAACGAATCCGACCCGAATTCATCTTCTTTATGAACGGGATCTCGGACATCCTTTTTGAAGGAAATTTTCGTATGGGGTGTTGTGTTTTATTCTCAAACACATCCCAGTAGTATCAAAAGTATTCTTGCAATACGAACTTCACCATCGCGCCGGTGTCAAACCAGCCCAACAACATCACTCCACGGCGGCCGACCTGCGTTAGACACGTCGTCGCTTTGTTGAGCCGAGCTCAATTTCCTCGGATCATCATCTCGGCCAGCCGAATAATAGTTCGGCATCGCGAAGGATAAATCGTCACCAACATCGCCGCTCCACGGATTACATGGAGCGGGCACACATGCATCGCCACACGGTCACTTCATCAAGCCGGCATCGACCACATCACGACCTGCATCGCTGGACCGGGGGCTTCATCATCTCTTCATCAACCTACTCCGGAGACTTCGGCGTCGCTGGCCGACCAGCTCCATCACGTTAGCTGGACCGAGGGCGTTGCCTCGGCGAGCCAACCTTTGCCAGCATCGCCATGCCGTTGCTTTATCGCCCATCAGGCGATAGGTGTGCGAATCGAGTCCCAATTTTGGGAATCACCTTTCTTCGGATTGCTACAACAAATAAGCCAGGTGCTATTAATCCTAATATGTTTTGCTTGTTAGGGTTCATTTTTCCCAATGAATTATTACTCTGGTTTGTCCGTCATATGTACACAGGTCTATCAAATGGTGGCCACATTAACGACGGTCGCATGGTGTTTCGGTCAGGTTCCGTACATAGTCCGGCGAACGCCGCATCCGGAACTCAAACCGACCTGTGAATTCAGGCCTTGCCATGCCTTTACCGCATCACGCCGCCGCCCTGCATCGACATTGACTTCGGCGCCAGGCCATATTTCTTTTATTACTCACTTTGCATAAATTATTTGTTATGCAACGATTTTTTTTACTATTATTACTATTATCTCCGGTTTGCACTATTTTTTGTGCATAGGAAAATGATCCAGCCGGACTATATCCATCGACGTCACCATGGCTGGACGGGGGGCTTTGTCAACACTTCATGACCCCATGCCGGGGACTTCGGCATCACCTTGCCGTCCTGCATCGACCGTGCTATGTCACCACTTCGGAGTGTCGAGCTCTTTGCTCCGCCACCTCGGGACCGGCTCGGGGATGGAACCTTGTCCCGCATCAAGCTCGGACCGCGTCATCAATACCGAACACATTTACCAGCTAAGTTGTCTTCATGCTCGAAGTTTTAAATTTCTAACTTGTGTTCGGTTCGACCAAGCATTATACTTTTTCGGAAAAAAGTTGCTTGTAAAAATCTTCCTTGTCGAAACTTTGTTCGCACACACTTGACGCGCTTACCGCGCTCATTATACCTGGGGGCTTCTTTGACAGAAGCTTATTAATTCGGGCTTTATGCCCAACACATGTGTCACACTTCCGCATGTACCTTTTATTCACCATTATATGCATCGATATGACTTAAGTTTTGGCCAAGCTAGGTTGCCTGGCTCCTGTGCTTAGCCCTACGTTCCCGATTGTTCGGCTAGGTGGTAAAGGGAGCACCTCTGCGATTGTTACTGCCGGGTCAGCCGGATGTGTACCTCAGACTGGGTGAAGCCGAAAGCTAGCGTTCTTAAGGGAATACTCGGTCGGTGAACTAAAAGATGATTTCTTACCTATTTATTTACCTGCCCCCAGATGTTTTTCTGC